ACACCAGTGGGACGTCCCCCCATGTCATCTTCTACTGTACATTATGACTCGTGGTGATCAGCCCACTCAGATTTATGCCCCATGAAATACAAGGCGGGCATTTTTCTCTGTCACTTTGTGCCCATATATAAGTTATGCGTTTCATCTGATGTCACTGGCATGGATAGTGTTGCAGTTTAAATTCATGTTTTAGGACGGTTTGAATGTACCAAGAATAAAGATATAATTGAGCTGTCACTACAGCTCAGAGTACATGTGATCTGGTCTGTCAGAGACTCAAAACTAACAGTTAGATCTGTAAGTGTTATACAGCATGTGTTTTTTCCTATATTTCAGTTCCATAACAGATAAACTATCCTGTTTATCTGTTGTACGTCACAGTAGATACTTTGTGAGTCTGGGAGTCAATGCCGTGCATAAGTCTACTACATGACGCCACAATAAACACTGGAAATACACCTGCAGTGAGTACACCTCTGAGTTTAGAAGACTAACGTGGCTCAAATAGCTTTTAGGAGCCGTGGCCTCCTTCGTAACTACTTTGACGAGTAAATTCTGAGGGAAGCAAAAAACAACTGACAACTGGAGACACAGGATCATCTTCAAAAGAGCGACCTATGTCTGCGACACGCTGTCTTTTAGCTGCTTGAGCAATGCCATTCCTTGTCATTGGATTCATCTACAGGCTATGAGTAACGGCTTCCAAATATAGGACCAGTTTCATACAAAGTGTCACATTTGCTGGGAGCACTTAAAGGACTTGAAAAGGACAAATTAGGGAGGGTGCTCCTTGCTCCCGGCTGCAGAGAGAGTCTTTGCACTGTGGGCTGTAAGCTCTGAGCTCTGCTGTGACAGACCTTGTTTTCTCTGTAAAGCTGCAGTGCTGCAGCTCACTGCTGTGATGTGATGTTTGTTTAAGATCAGCATCAGTCCACAGAGCGGTGATAAGCTGAGCCCCACTGGGCAGCGCTTGTTATTACATGAACTGTTCTATGTAATACGTTCAGTAAACGTGACAGGTTTGATGTAAAATCCCTTCCTCCGAAGGTGTGTGCTTGTTTATTTTTATTCTCTACATGATGCAATAAAGGGATAGACCCAGTAACCTTCAGACTTGAGCTCATGCCAGCTCTGCACACAGCACTCAGGCCTCTGTCCTCAACAAAGTGACAACAGTATAAAGTCCAGTCTGGGCTTACTGCAGCATGCGTGGGATCAGGACATGTAAAAATAATGTCCAAGCTTTTCACTACAGCCTTCCAACACGGCCCCATGAAATGTAGACATCAGAACAATGTTACACCTTGAGTCCTCGTCTGCACTGAAAGAAGAATGTTTATAAATCCTGCCAAATCCAGACATTAACACAGATACGGCCCAAGATGCACTTCTGCTCTAAAGCAACTATTTCCAACACGGCAACAGCAGTGCTAAAATAACCCTGATTAACAGAGGTGCTTAAGAGGAGCTCGGCAGAATTCGATAAGACGTCCAAATGTCAAACGCACGTATACCTAACTATATACAGCTACATAATGCCTTCTCCTGGTTCCGAGTGTGTTCTCAGCATATCCAGCATGTAATGTTATATTGAAGCAAGTTAATTTAAAAGCACGGACAGAGGACAAGCCTGGTATTTGTAATTTATGAAGCTGGTCCCGACAGCCATGTTCCCAGGGCGATAACTCTTCTGTGGTTATGGGTACATCTTCTTTACATCAGCCTCCTGACAACCATGGCAAGTACAGTAGCAATGTTTCATATAGGATTTGTGTCGACTGCCCTGTTCACCTGTTGCCTCGGGGAATCTTCATGTGATAAATGATGCAACACTGAAATTTCCCCACTGTGAGACGTGTAAAGGATCTCTTCATCTTAATGTTAACATTCAGTGTAAATACAGGACCCATGCTTGAATCAGAATCAGAATCCTTTTATTGCCGAGTGAGTAACAGGAAGTTACAAACTAGGAAATGGCTTTGGCTCTCGGTGCAAACAAGTTAAAGCAGAATAAAATCAAGAAATCAAATCTACATACAAGAATAAGTCGATTTTGTCTGGAGATTAAAATCCCACTGTTCTGAGGACTTTACCTCTTGTCAAGAAAATGAAAGAGAACTCCTCCCTCCATCTCCAAATATGTTTTATCTATTTCACTCCAGCAACGTGAATCAATGCGCTACTATAAAAGACGGCTAAACAGTTTTTCATCTTTTTGACACAGAGCAAAGAATCCCAAAAAATAATGAAGAATCACATTATAATGGACTACATTAATGGACACGTGAAGCAATATAAAAAACTGTCAAACTTTCTGCTACAGGTTTCTCATTTTCATGCAGAAGCTGGTCTGTCGGCCCGAACCAGGAACAATTTACCAAGTCATGATTATTATTATTAAACCACAACATTAAGATCCCCCTTTGCTTTATTTCAATCTGAATTATCTCATTACCAATCATCAAATACCTTACTTCGCTTTTGTCACTAGTTGTGTTTTGAGGTTTTCAGTTTTCATGAGACAGTGTTTGAAATCTGCCATATCTGGACTTTGTAATGTCTAAATGTATATGTTATGTCATAATAATAATAATAATAATAATACATTGGTTTTATAAAGCGCTTTTCAAGAACTCAAAGACACTTCACAGTTCAGGACAGACGCACACACACATTCAGACAGACACACAGTTCAGGACACACACACGTACACAATCAGACAGACACACAGTTCAAAACACACACACATACACACACACACAGACAGACACACAGTTCAGGACACACACACACATTCAGACAGACAATCGTACACACTCAGACAGACACACATTTCAGGACACACATACACACACATTCAGACAGACACACAGTTCAGGACACACACACGTACACAATCAGACAGACACACAGTTCAAAACACACACACATACACACACACAGACAGACACACAGTTCAGGACAGACACACACACACATTCAGACAGACACACGTACACACTCAGGCAGACACACAGTTCAGGACACACACACACATACACACATTCAGACAGACACACAGTTCAGGACACACACACATTCAGACAGACACACATACACACTCAGACAGACACACAGTTCAGGACACACACACATTCAGACAGACACACAGTTCAGGACACACACACACACACACATTCAGACAGACACACAGTTCAGGACACACACACACACACACACATTCAGACAGACACACAGTTCAAAACACACACACATACACACACACTCAGACAGACACACAGTTCAGGACACACACACATACACATTCAGACAGACACACATACACACTCACACAGACACACAGTTCAGGACACACACACACATTCAGACAGACACACAGTTCAGGACACACACACATTCAGACAGACACACATACACACTCAGACAGACACACAGTTCAGGACACACACACACACACACATTCAGACAGACACACAGTTCAGGACACACACACACACACACATTCAGACAGACACACAGTTCAAAACACACACACATACACACACACTCAGACAGACACACAGTTCAGGACACACACACATACACATTCAGACAGACACACATACACACTCACACAGACACACAGTTCAGGACACACACACACATTCAGACAGACACACAGTTCGGGACACACACACACATTCAGACACACACACATTCAGACAGACACACGTACACACTCAGACAGACACACAGTTCAGGACACACACACATACACAATCAGACAGACACACAGTTCAGGACACACACACATACACATTCAGACAGACACACATACACACTCAGACAGACACACAGTTCAGGACACACACACACACATTCAGACAGACACACAGTTCAGGACACACACACACACATTCAGACAGACACACAGTTCAGGACACACACACATTCATACAGACACACAGTTCAGGACACACACACACACACAATCAGCCGGCCAAAACTAAACCTCTAAAAGCAGGAATGAGGAGAGCAGAGCTGACAGAGTTGTGTGCTGGCTGCTGCTGTGTGTATGGGCGTCTCTGACTATTGAACACAGGAACGATGGAGATGTTTCTGAGTGTAGTGTTGTCGTGGGAGTGTGGTCTGAGGAGTCCTGAACACAGTCTATACTCCACACGTTTGTGTCAGCAGCTCACTCCAAGCTGCTCTGGCAATAGCAGTCTTTTGCAACATTTTTGTCCCGGCGCCGATCGATGATAGTCTGCATGACAAGCCGGCCTCAAACAATGAAAAGTGAATCTGATTTTTTTCAGACATAGAAATGTGGTTACCAGTCAATATTACCTTTTGCAAAAACATTAAAAGGTTTTACTGTAGCTTATAGTGAACCTTAGGCCAAGATAAAGTGATTCACCAAGTGACATTGAGCCGAACTTTTTTTTCCACTCATATATTGTACAGATCCTACCTCAAGGCAAGGCAAGGCAAGTTTATTTATATAGCACAATTCATACACAAGGCAATTCAAAGTGCTGAACAAAACAAGAAAGCATTAAAATCATAAATAATCACAGAACATTAAAAAGAAAGATACAAATATAAAATCCCTCAGTTGTATGCACAGCTAAACAGAACTGTCTTTAACCTGGTTTTAAACATTGTCAGAGAGGAGGCCTGTCTCACATCTTCAGGAAGATTGTTCCAGATTTTAGCAGCATGAATCTGAAAAGCAGCCTCCCCATGTTTAGTTCTGACTCTGGGCACTAACAAGAGTCCAGTCCTCCTCTACCTTTTTGTTTTATTTTGTTCTTCGTTTGTTGCCCATGTAAGTGAGTACAGTGCTTTCTGTATGGCGCAGAATGTTTTAATTTTGTATGGCTTATCAATGATCTTATTTTATAGATTCTGTTTGGTGTGTGTAGTTTCTTATTCCTCCTTTTATTCTGCTGCAATTTGCAACTTTGAAATTCCCCCTGAGGGACGAGTAAAGGTTTGTCTTCTGGTCTTCGTGGCTGTCAGTGGGACGCAGCGACAGAGCCCTCAGCGGTGGGCGTGGCCGGGGCGCCGGAGGCCAAGGGGGCAAATGGCAGCACCCCTCCTCCCCCTCGTGCAGGTCCCAGGGGCTGGCGCCAGGCGAGCCCAGCGAGCAGCCGCAGCAGAAATAACCCGGGACAGTTGTCGGGCAGGGGAGAGTGACGAGGAGAGCGAGGCGCAGCGGGGATCGGGTTGCGGCGGCTGTCATCAGAGAGCGGTCATTACTTCTGGCCTCATTATCTCTGGCCGCATGTAAACAAACAACACGCAGAGGCACCGGAGCATTGTGGCCGCGGCGCTGTGGTCGTTCCAACCTCTGGATTCCACTGGCTCCATCCAAATCATGCTCAAAAGTTCAGTGAATGGAACAGTTGCGTGGACTCTATGGTGCACCTGAAATAGTGTTGACATATAGGCCTCACCTGAATATTAGCCGCAGGTTTTTATGTTTAATTTAGCAGAGAGACGACTGTTTTAACTGGATTTAATGATGAGGTTTTTAACAGCTTGACCGTTAGCTTCCATGACTCTGAAAGTATCGGGTTCTTCTATACCAGACATGATAAGGTTATTACCTCGACACGTTTCGACGAATAACTTCTGTCTTCTTCAGAAGCGTCTCAACATTACAAAACCTATTATTGTCTGGTGCAGAGGAACCCGATACTTTCAGAGTCATGGAAGCTAACGGTCAAGCTGTTAAAAACCTCATCATTAAATCCAGTTAAAGCAGTTGTCTTGCTGCTAAATTAAAAATTAACACCTGCAGCTAATATTCCGGTGTGGCCTATGTGTCAACACCATTTGTTTTCTTTTCAAGACAAGACAAGATGTATCTTCCTAAAGCTTCCATGACTCGTTCACCGTTCCAGGGGCCAGAAGAGTCCTTGATTAATTTAAGATCTGGATTTAAGTGTCTGGATTCATAAAGAACCTCCAGAACAGACATTTCACAGAACTTTCTCAGGTCTCTCTATCTGGTCTCTCTCTATGATCTCTCTCTTTGTTCTTTTCCAGGTCTGTCTCTCTGTCTGGTCTATTTTTGGTCTCTCTCTCTGGACTCTCTCTTGTCTCTCTCTGGTCTCTTTCTCTGGCCTTTTTCTTTAGCGCTCTTCTTTCTTTGACTGTGATGTCACCGATACAGAGTCAGAGAACCAACCATTAAACTGATTTCCTTTCAAATACTCTCTATCCATGTAAAACAACACACGCACACACACACACACACACACACACACACACACACTAAAGGCATTTCCAACTTTACTGTCTGACAATGTTCCGTATGGTCCAAAACACAGCCGCAGCCTCTGACGCAGTGATCGGTGGATGTCACAGATGCTCTCAGCGAGTAGAGCATAAAGACGACATCATGGACACATAAAACAGCGGCGTCTCGTCCTCTTGTGGGTGATTGATGAGATCAAGTGCAGTGTGACAGGACGAGGTGCTCCCCGCGGCTCGGCTCGGCTCCGCGCTCACATTCCACAGCCTTCATGGCACGTTCACGCTCCAGATCCGGTTTCTACCTGCAGTGTCCGGCTGCACTCTGACCAGCTGCGCTCATCACTAAACAACCAGTGGGAAACAGGACTGGGGCTCTCACATGGTCCCGGACGAGGGGAGCATGTATGGAGATTCCAATGTCCAAACCTTCTTAATTCTGTAATTTATTATTATTATGGAAATGACAGACACATTTTAAAAAACTGTTTGTATTGTTGTTGTAAGTGTTATACTGTATGTCATGTACTTCAACCATAGATTGTAAATATTAATGGACGTAATCATGCCTATCTACGCCCTTGAAACTAATGCCACCTCTTTTGCCTTCTTTGCACTTTTTTGAAATGGCCGAGGGGCAGGACAATGTGAAAAAACACGTTTGCACATGCGTTATCTGCATGAACCCCATTCAAAGTCCACAGCAGCTAAACTAGACTGGTCCAAAAAGAAACCCCTCCCCCTCAGCATTGACAGCATCTGGAACGTAGCTTTGGGCGAAGAGAAACTTTTGGATCCAAGAGGATTTCGAGAGGAAAGATGACACCATACAAAAGCACTGGGTAATTCTCTCTCCGGGTACACCCCCACCGGCTAGGTGTGAGGTAAAATAATTTGTTTACAATTAAAATAAAACATGAGAAAAACTCCTGTTAGAGCTCTCTGTTAAAGATATTCATGTTACTGGGTAATTATTCGTGGTCTTCTTAACTTAGTGACATTTATGCTTCTCTAAGTAGTTTTTTTCTCTTTTCATTATTTGTGTGAAATTATCTTTTTCTTTTGAAATGTAGGTAGTTTGTCCGAGGTGAAGTGCTAGTTGCCATAGCGACACACTGTTTACTGTCAGCCGTTAGCATTAGGTCACTTTTCATCAAACTGTTGGATTCATCAGGTTTTCTTCTGCACTTATCAAAAGTGAATGGAGGTAAACCCCTTTTTTACCATCTCTTTTTTTGGTTGATTTCTCAGGATTCTTTTGGTTCAAATGTGGAAGTCAGTTTTCAGAAATATGTGAGCCCCAGTGTTAAAGAGTTTAATAGCACAGCGACTCAAAGTGCTGAACTGTTAAAGCCTTATCTCCACTCACCCACCTCCCCCTCAGCCTCTGCACATGATGCTGCTGCGGTCAAACACTAAATACTCTAGTTACACAGACTGTACTACATGTACTACATGTAGTACATGTAGTACATGTACTGTTAGACTTCATCAGTCTGCAGCGGGTAAAGAGAAACCTCAGGAGGACGACAGTGAAGAGAAGAGCTTCTATGGACAAATAATCTCACACCATGAGAAAATTAAAAGTACTTAATACTTAAAACAGTATTTATGAATTAACTTTGAGGTCTGTGTGGGCCAGGTTTATAGACAGACTGTTGCACACATAGTTTAAAACCTCTTGTGGAAGAAATACAAGGAACAGAGACAAAGTAAAGTATATTTAATAGCCTTTTCCAAATGTCATTATTAGACTCAGACAAAACTCTTAAACATAGTCATGATGATTAGTGACTTTTAGAATGATGTATTTGTTTGTATGTGTTTCTCCTGTGGGCAATTAAGGATCTCTCTGTCTATGCAGTCTCATTGGAGTGCAAAGGAAACAATACATTAAAATAGCTCTTTTCTAAGTGAACATAGAGTTTTGTGAGTAAGTTGTTTCCAGGAACACATGTGTCTCCTGCATCCGTCCAGGTCTCAGCGCCGGGTTTCCAGTAATGGAGATGAAAAATGACGTTAAGACGCTGCTTGAACGCTGTCACTTGTGTCAGCTCTAAGTGCGCCTTGTTAATTGCCCTCTTGTTTCTTTCCTGAAGCTCGGAGTGACCAGACGTTCAAATATTTATGTATGCCTCGGAAACCAAATTACCGCAGACAGATCTAAAGAGATGATTTGCATTTGGTGAAGGATAAACGTTGAGACCACGACAAACAAGGGGCTGACGCTTAAGAAGCCTGTGTGTGCATGTGTGTGTGTGTGTGTATGTATGCATATGTGTGCATGTACGTGTGTGTGCGTTTCTCTGGGTGTGCGTGGGTGTACGTGTGCATGGCTGTGTGTGTCTATGTGCGCAGGTGGTGATAATGTGTTTACCTTTGCAAGTGTCTGTGTACATGCGTGTGTGTGAATGTGTCTGCATGTGTGTAAGAATGGGTCTGTATGTGTGTTTGAATATGTCTGAATGTGTGTGTATGTGTGTATGAATGGGTCTGTATGTGTGTGTGAATATGTCTGAATGTGTGTGTATGTGTGTATGAATGGGTCTGTATGTGTGTTTGAATATGTCTGAATGTGTGTGTATGTGTGCGTGCATATGTCTGTATATTTGTGTGTATGTGTCTGTATGTGTGTGTGTGTGTCTGTATTTTTGTATGTGTCTGTATGTGTGTATGTGTGAGGACTTAGACCTGGCTTTACCCTGAGGACTCCATGACCAGAGGAAATGTGATCGGTCATTACGTTTTGGGAACACGTTTGCTTGTCTGCACCGATCCCTATTAAGGAGCTGCGTGATCCGTGATCCCCCATTTACTAATTGAGTTATCGGCCGAGGCCTGGACCGGAACCTGAGAGCTGTTTCCAATCCGCCCGTGTTTATCTACCATTATGTTGGAACCAGGGGCTTAGGTTGATGGTATAATTATACAGAGGGACAGTGACCCGGGCCCCTCCACGGCCCCTCCCTGGGTTCTGGAGCATGCTACATGGACACATATCCTCCGTGCACTGGGGTCTTGTCTTATAGATAGATAGATAGATACATTATTGATCCCCGTAGTAAAAAAAAATCATGTGTCCAGTAGCAGCAGAAACACATAAATAAATACATGATTCTAAAAGTAGCTAATAATAGTAACAAAAATGCAAAAACACTTTAGGTCACAGCAGCAGAGGTGGAGGAGCTGCTTGGTTTGGACCATTTTCTCGGCTCTGGTCCAGACAGAGATGCTGATTGCTTTATTAGCATTAGCATTTAGCTACAACAACATTACTTGAACATGAACTGTGTGATTTCTGTGGGATGCTTCTGTTCATTCTCCCCATATCCTGCAGATGGCGCTGTCAGTGTCTTTGGAGCGGGTTGAACAAAACTATATGCTTATTTATTATGCTAAGATAGAGATTTAACACATCCTTCTTTATTATGCTAAAGTTAGACAACACTGACATTTCCCCACTGTGGGACAAATAAAGCATCTCTTCATTTTGAAGGTCTTTAACATCTTTCACGGTTTTAAAGCTGTGTAAATCTAATCGTCACGCATTCCCTGCACTGTAATCACTGTAATCACTGTAATCACTGTAATCACTGTAATCGGCAACTTACTCACCTTTCAGTTTTTCCATAACACCAAACTATAAAATGTCAGCAAATTCACAGATATGACTTTTAAACCAAATGAAATGACTTACTGTTGCTACAATAAATGCCTTTTCTAATCTTTTTAAATTTGATTTAGATCCATTTTGTGTTTTCTTATTGTCGAGAAGGAATTTAGTTTTTCTCAATCACCGCTTAAAAATGTTGATGAATTCTGTACCGCTGCACCACAGCCGTTAGAGCCTGTGGGGTCCTGGGTTTGATTCCCCCTCTGGGCTTTTCTGAGTGAAGTTTACATGTTCTCCCTGCCTTTGAGTAGGTTTCCTCCAGGTGCTCCAGTTTCATGTGCATTACGTCTGATGTAATGAATGGAGGGTGTTTGGTCGGAGGATTTGATGGTCCAGTGTGTTCGGCGTCTCTCTTTCCGTCATCACTGTGTGGAGGGAATGGAACAATATCTAAAATCCTTCTTCTGTAAAATGCGTTATATAAATAAAGATTACTTACTTACATCAGGGGATAAAACATGTGACCCACAAGACCAATTCTAATTTCCTCCTTTAATGGTTTCCATTTATATTTGTTAGTTTATCCTCTCTACTATTGTTGGGAGCATGGACTATACAGTTGGTTCCCTCACATTTATGACATTTATGGAGAATCTATTCAAACAGCTCACAAATATGTGCCTCTTTAAGTCTACGTTTTTCCTTCAGAACGTCTCCTCCAGTTTGTCTCATTTGAGTGGGAAGTTTATGGACATTTCTGGACATTGGTCACTGCCCCTGATGGACTGAAAGCCACTGTATGTGTTTTTATCATTGCATTCCCTGTGTTTGAACTGTTTGATTCTCTAATCTGTGTTGGCGAATCGACAGTTTTGTACAGTAAAGACCTCAGAGATAACTACTGTTGTGATTCAGCTCAGGGGTGTAAAACTCATTTGGGTCAGGGGCCTAATTCCAAAACAAAAGAGCTGGTTTGGGTCAGATGTACAAAAGTGGCATTAAAGTTTTATTCATCTAATCTTTTACATATGTTTGACAAATTATTGTTCAAGTTCGAACATAATTTTTTAGTAGGTTTGGATTAAACCACAACTGGGAAAAATAGAAGAGATGTATTGGAAAATTTATATTTAGATTTAGACATTTTAGAACGTTTTCAATGATGTGGTTGTTTTCGGGAGATGATATAATTAAGTATAACACGCCATAGTTTCCCATTACCACCAATGCTGCAAGTAGTTGTGATGACGATAATTAAAAAATCATTTCAGGGGCCTCTAAAAAAGGCTCTTGCCGGCCGGATTTGGCCCACGAGCCTGAGTTTGCCAAGCCTGATTTAGGGCAACATAAGGACTCATTGATTTAAACTGAATGCTAGCCCTAGCTTACTAAAAACCCAATGCACTTAGTAATGCATAGGTTTTATACAGCGCTTTTTGGACGCTCAAAGACTTTTCACTAAATACAGAACAGAGCGCGGCGACAACGTGCAAGACGGATACTTTTGGTTTTAGAAATGCGATCTGTTTTGTTGTGGTGCTCAATGAGAGGTGATGGACACTATCTCTTGTCGGGTGCAGACCTCTCCGTGCCCTCTCCCAGACATTCTCCACCAATGTCAGAGGCCTATAAATCATCCCGTATCAAAGCGGCCTGCAACGCTTCCTGCATTTCAACATATGTGGAATCACTGGGCGTCTGTCATCGTCCGCCGCCGCTCTCAGAGAAAGCTTTTTTGGACGCGGTTCCCACTTTAACATGGACCAGATGTGGCAGTGATCGGGGAGGGTTCTACCTGCCACCGAGGGAGACTCCCCAAACGAGGTGATCGGGACACGGCAGGGATCGACCGTGGAGCTGGATCAGAGCCTGTGAAGCAACATCAACGCTCTGGATAACGACCCCAAACTTTCACCGTCACGGATCAAGATGAAGAGGCGCTTTAATCGTCCCATGGCGAAATGTCGGTGTTGCATCAGCAGTTACAGAAAACAGTAGGAATGAGGAGCACACAACACAAGATAAATGGACAAAAGTAAAATACAATCTCTATCTTTAGTATAACATATTAAAACGAGGACTAAACTTTGCCATCACACCGGACGAAGTACCATACGATGCTTTCATATTAGCAACCGGGTTAGCATGCTATGAAAAATACACAACCAGAGAAAACAGGCAGACCTTAGGAACACAGTGACAGGTATTCACAAAGCAGCAAAACTACCACATAGCAATATATCAAAAGCAAGTAAGTGAGTAATGTTTATTTATATATCGCATTTTACAGACCAAGGTCACCCAAAACACTTTACAATGTTCAGAGTTCAGATATACATGTAGATAAATAGAAAAGGAGAAAGAAGGGCTCTCATTCTGCTCACCAAAGACAAAAGCATTACAACAATACCGGCGAACAAGGGAAGAACCTCGGTGGTTATGGATACACATGGATACGGATTAGGAGGACAAAATGACCTCAATACTTAGCAACACAAACACAAACGAAAAAGTAACACAACAAATGAAAAGAAACGGAAACTGAAGTCAAAACTTTAGTTTTTAACACTAATATTGCTTGTGTTACTGTCTGACATTTTCAGTGTTACTTATGGGAGGGTGGGAGGCAGCCTTTTGCAGATTGAAACGATTGGATCTGAGTTTGCCGTGACGTATGTAATGCACCCGAGTGAGTGAGACCCTGCTGAGGAGAAGGTCCTCAGATCCTCAACAGAGCCTCAGACCCTCGGAATCCCCCTCAGAAGATCCTCAGGCCCTCCTCAGCAGACCATCCTCCTCGGACCCTCAAGCCCTCAGACCCTCCTCATCAGACCCTCAGACCCTCCTCAGCAGACCGTCAGACCCTCCTCATCAGACCCTCAGACCCTCCTCAGCAGACCGTCAGACCCTCCTCAGCAGACCCTCCTCATCAGACCCTCAGGCCCTCCTCAGCAGACCGTCAGACCCTCCTCATCAGACCCTCAGACCCTCCTCATCAGACCCTCCTCATCAGACCCTCAGGCCCTCCTCAGCAGACCGTCAGACCCTCCTCATCAGACCCTCAGACCCTCCTCAGCAGACCGTCAGACCCTCCTCATCAGACCCTCAGACCCTCCTCAGCAGACCGTCAGACCCTCCTCATCAGACCCTCAGACCCTCCTCAGCAGACCGTCAGACCCTCCTCATCAGACCCTCAGACCCTCCTCAGCAGACCGTCAGACCCTCCTCAGCAGACCCTCCTCATCAGACCCTCAGGCCCTCCTCAGCAGACCGTCAGACCCTCCTCAGCAGACCCCCCTCATCAGACCCTCAGGCCCTCCTCAGCAGACCGTCAGACCCTCCTCATCAGACCCTCAGACCCTCCTCAGCAGACCGTCAGACCCTCCTCAGCAGACCCTCCTCAGCAGACCCTCAGGCCCTCCTCAGCAGACCGTCAGACCCTCCTCAGCAGACCCCCCTCATCAGACCCTCAGGCCCTCCTCAGCAGACCGTCAGACCCTCCTCATCAGACCCTCAGGCCCTCCTCAGCAGACCGTCAGACCCTCCTCATCAGACCCTCAGGCCCTCCTCAGCAGACCGTCAGACCCTCCTCAGCAGACCCTCCTCATCAGACCGTCAGACCCTCCTCATCAGACCGTCAGACCCTCCTCAGCAGACCCCCCTCATCAGACCCTCAGACCCTCCTCAGCAGACCGTCAGCAGACCCTCAGACCCTCGCACTGATCTGCTCCACTTGCACTAAACGAGACCCTGGGGACAGCGCCCGGCCCCTGAGCCCACGACCCATCTTCCTAATGTAAAAGGCCCTCAGTGTCATCCTGGGGTTTTAAGTTCCAACAGAAACTGAAAATGACTCTTGTACCAACCATATATCTGCCTTTGAGAACAGCCCGGCCCCCTGCTGATTCGTGGTTACGCCGGGCCCTCCATCTCAGGCGTCATCCTACACTCCAGAGCGGTTACTCCGTGGTCTTAATGCGATCTCTGAGACTCTGTCAGTGTCGAGGCAAATGCACCAGTTTCCTCCGGATCTGGAAGAGCCACAATTATCTTTTCGGGCTTTAAACAATGCTATAGTATTATTCCATATATAACTTGCTCCAGAGCTGCCTCCACTTCCTGTTTCACCAAGACACTATTCGACTCTTCTGGGCAATGAGTTTTTGATTCTCTCTTTTTCACTTTTTCTACCTGAGAAAGCTGATCTATATTTGTGAAAGAGGCCTCATATGCATGCATGGGAAAACAAGTGTTAGTTTTAGATTATTTCAAGCACACATTACAATAACAACAAACACAATTCACTGCTGCTTGAAAAGACACTGAGGTGGGCTCTATGTGCGGCCCACACTAAAATCTATGTATTATGTAATTTTTAACAACTTGTGTTTTGTGTAAATACTGTATGTGAGAATATGTTGTAGTGTGAAATGTGTGTATTGATTTATAGACAGTGATTTCATATGATGTGAATGAGAGATATTCCCTATTTTTCGGATTATCGGTTTTTGTCATAGTTTGGCCGGCGATTTATGTGTGAAATTATTAGATTTTATATTTTATTTACCGTAAAATATTAAATAATTGCCCGGGCTATCAAGCTTGCAAATTAAACTCTGTTGTTTAATGTATGCCATGGTAGATAAAATGTTTCTTAATTTGAGCGCATTCTGACTGCTTTAAAACAAGATTTACCAATGGGACAATGCAAAATTATCTTGTTTTAAAAAGGTACAAGAAATGTCTCCCTTGAATGAGAAAATAAAGCAACCGTCCTTGAAATCAGACTAAATGCCTTTGTCCCACTGGAGAATCTTGTTTACACACAGTCACAATGTGCTCAAATGATGATAAAAATACTTGATTCAAGCAGACATTACCACATATTTCATATTATTTGCAGTGTAGGCACTAGTTTCATGTATATGTAGTTTGAAAAGACCATAGGTACTTCTGCCGCCTCTGTGATCCAAACACCAACGGGGAGAAAGTTGTTTTCGGGTCAGAAATGAAGCGGCAGCAACAGCGGCGATACGGAGAGCGGAAAAAGCCCTCGGTACAGCTGCTGCGAGGATTAAATTACCTCGATACTCTCTCCACCAGAAGATTCAGTTTCCTGCGCCTTAGTTTTCATCTACATTTTAACACAAATTTGAAAGATTTAGTTTCAGAACTGCCCTTTTCTCCCCCTCATGTGACACACGGCCTGTAGTGATGATGGTACATGAGGTCTTTGATACGCCTCCTGCTGCTTGGTCCTGGTCCTGGTCCTGGTCCTGGTCCTGGTCGCGCTGCTGGAACAGTGGTTTTCGATGCGATCGCTTCAAAGCCTCCTGCAACATTAGAGCTGTAGGGGCGAGGTGCGGACCTTTAACCACTGACGGAGCAGTAAAAAGTGAGAAGATACTTGAGTGGGGTCGCGATCGTGCAAACGGCCTGAAAGTTCATCATAAAGTCAACAGCACCAGAGCGAGAGTTTGACAATATTTACCCTTTTACTCTACATGCCACATTTAACCACATTTATGGACTTTAAACATGTCCATCCATCCATCCATTTTCTACCCTTTAATCCATTTCTGGGTCAGGGGGGTGGCAGTCAGAGATGCCACCCAAGTCTCATAGCACCAGCCCCTCACTGACCCTCTGCAGGTGGTGAGTCCACAGGAGGACGGCTGCTCTCTGAGTGTGAGCAGAGCCTTGATCTTTCAGTGGGGGCTTTGGGCAAAGTGGGGTTAAGTGTCTTGCCCAAGGACACAACGACAGCAGTCATCAGTGGGAGTCGGTGGAGAAGGTGTAGCGGTGGGAATTGAACCCACAACCTTCAGGCCTGAAGGCCAATGCTCTACCAACTGAGCTACTGTCGCCCCCCCCCAATACTTTAAACATGTATTCTTCTTTATTTGGTCTTTGTGTTTTCATCATTGCCTTTCCTGCACTGCAAAAATGCAAAATTTGCCAATGGGACGAAGTGAGAACAGTTGCTATTTCTCAGTCTGAGGGAGACATTTCTTATATCTTTTTAAAACAAGATCATTTTGCTTTGTCCCATAGGCAAATATTGTTTTAATCAGAATCAGAATCAGAATTATTTTATTGCCATGTGAGTAAAGGGAAGTAACAAACTAGGAAATTGTATTGGCTCTCGGTGCAAACAAGTTAAAGCAGAATAAATCAAAGGCATCGATAAATAAAAATCTATATAAATATCTTCAGTTTTCTTCAGTTTGCTATATACAATAGACCGTTAAGAGTGCGCTAGAGTGCAGTAGTAAGTAGTAGTAGTAGTAGTAGTAGTAAGTAAGTAATCTTTATTTATATACCGCCTTTTCACTGCAGATCTTTACAGTTGTTAATAAAGTAACAGTACTTAACAGTACAGTAACAGTAACAGTAACAGTACAGTAAAGCCAGTAGAGTGCAGTAAAGCCAGTAGAGTGCAGTTAAGTCAGTCAGAATGTGCTTACATTAAAATCTTTTGCCAAATTTTAGATTTTTTTGTCTTTTTTGTCATCACTTTTTGCAGAGTGTGTTTGAACTGTTTGATCTGTGTTGGAGAATCAACGGCTTTGTAAAGTCATCTACTGTTGTAATTCAGGGCAATACAAAATAAATGTAATTTAATTGAAAAACCACGTCTGTGAAGTAGAATTCAAACAGATTTTTTATTCCAGCAATTTCACAATCTTGTTGTTATATGTTTTTACAACAATCTATTTTATTGTTGTTATCTATTTATATTGTTTTGAATTTTGGAATTTTTTGTGTTTGTGGTTAATTATCTTTCTTTCTTTTTTTTTTTTACCTTTTTGTTAATAAACATTATGCAAACATCATCAGCGTTTATTTATCCCTTTTTACATTGTTGCACACTTTATAAGCAGATCACAAATTGGTGCTAAATAAATAAATTAGATCGGGCTTAAAATTCAAGTTAGCTTCAATACCTTTAATGTATATGTAGTGTGTATGTTTTATACGTTTGTTTTATGGAGATTTTTGTTTTGTTTTGTAACAATCATTTCCTCATTTTTCAACGATCACCCACACACGACAAAAACAGAAGTCTAGAGAAACAAAAAACGGCAAATAAAATACAACAAAAATCTGTTCAAAAAAAATACCATAACATAACTGAAATGTGTCCTCATTACACACATTTCCCATGAGGCCTGTGTCGATCCTTCATTATAAAGACATCATTTAACACGTGCATCTGGTGCCAAATCTTATTACATTATAATTTACAGCCGCCGTGTGCGATCCGCTGTGAGCCGCAGCCCTGGCCTGGATCTTTGTGGCTGTTGCCCTATTCCATATCAGATAAGTAAGTGGAGCCTGTGTCTTCTTGACGGGGTGCGAATTCCAAAGATTAATGTAAATGAGGAGGAATCTGCAACTCTCCGGATTCTGAGATCCAGGGATTAAAGGCTCCGGTGTCGGCTGCGCTGGAAACAGATGACTCACTGCTCCGGCTCTGTCCAGATCCAGTGTCCAGGGTCCAGGGTCCAGTGTCCAGGGTCCAGGGTCCAGGGTCCAGGGTCCAGGGTCCAGCCTCCTCCGAACGCACGAGGGAAACAGACGGAGAAAACTGAGGAGTAAAACTGAGCCGTTACAGACTCTCTGTGTGGCATTGGGGCACGAGGAAGTGAAAGCTCAGGCTGAAAAATCACACTGCAATATGGAGTTTTTATAACTGAAAAAAAATATTAAAATATTAGGTAATAATAGCTTGAATCTGGTGGTTTTTACCTTAATCTGAAAATAAAGCAACAGCTCTTGAAATAAGACTAAATGGTTTGGTCCCATTGGAGAATCTTAAAATAATAATACTAATAAATGCATGGGTGTTAAACAGCGCTTTTCACGACACTCAGAGACGCTTCACATGTCATGATTCTTTCACTCCAAACACAGTGGTGATAAACTACTACTGCAGCCACAGCTGCCCTGGGGCACACTGACAGAAGCGAGGCAACCACTAAGTCCCACCTTTCCCTCCCTCCAACACCAACCATTCACACACACCCCAGACTCATTCTAATGTGGGGGAAGTGTCTTGAACAGCCACAGCCGCCCCACTGCGGCACCTGATGTTCCCAGAGGTCTCCCATCACAGTACTAACCAGGCCCTGCCCTGCTTAACTTCAGAGTTCTGACAGGATCTGACTTTCACCTGCAGGTACGACCACATTTTGTTTTGAGGCAGTCGGGATGTGCGCAAATTAACAGCAAATTTGAGCAATTTTTTGAATAATTTTGCCGTGTAGAGCAGTAACTTTGCAGCAGAAAAACAGAAAAGCTGTTGGCTGAAGCTAATGCTAATAGCCTGTGGCCTACATGTTTGAAACCCGTGGTGTAAATGTTGGCTTACGGTGACCTCCCATCTCATACCAGGCTAAGCTGCGTACAGTGGGCCAACACATTTCTCCCTCACTTCATTTTCCATCCGCATGAATGCAGTGTCCGCTGGTGTCACACTGCTGCTGCTGCTGCTGCTGCTGCTGCTGCTGCTGAAGGTTACTGTCCAGTCCATTCAGACCCTGCTCCTCTGATCCCCGTCCTTGGATTGGCTGTCCTCTCTGGCCGTGTCTCCGGTAACTCGGTTAGCTCGTTCACATTCTGACCTCTGCCTATGGAGCGGGACAGCTGTGCTTACCTTAGCATAAAACGCCACAATAGGTCATCATTATCAAATTAATCAAAGCTGTCACAACCACACGGCACACCCCCCCACCTCCACCTCCACCTCCCCCGTACCCCCTCCCTCAGAAGGCAGTAACAGTTGGACGGTCTGCGGAGGAGGAGGCACTGGTGCGAGGGCGACTGGAGTTACATTCACAACTGTGCTCAAGAATCAAAGCGCCACCGCATCAGTCAATATCCGGGTAATGAAACGCTACTTTATCGACATTATTTACTGTGCGGCAAACAATAAATCATAGTCTGTAGCTTCAACGGCTGGATTCTGGAAGCTAATGTTCAGCACTGTAAATAATGTGAAGTGCTGCAAATGTGCCGAGTTGTAAAATACATACTGTACAATAAAATAACTCTGTGTATTGGATAAAAACAAAGAGGGAAAGATTTGAGGCTGAGTCTGTTTTAACATAAACCTTTTATTATTGTGGGGGCACAGCGTTTGGACCCCTCTCTGGTCTACATCAAGACAAGACATGAAGACCCAAGAGGGATTTAAAAGTGTTCCTATGTCCCTACAAGAATAAGAGATTTTTATGTTAAATCAGACTCAGCCTCGAACCTTACAAATCCAGACTCAAAACAGAGCTCTTAGAATTACAATTGACTCCACTGGCTCCTGGAAACACCATGTTCCAGCTTCTTCCCTCTTGCAGAAGATATTGTGGGCTGCAGGACATGTTTTATTAATGTACTCATCTTGTGCACTCTGGGACTTTTGCAAATGTATTCCAATGTGGTTTTACTGCAAATGGCAAATAAAATGAATCTGAATCATCTTTTCCTCTGTGTTTCTCTCACATGCCCGACATGTTTTGCACTCACTCCTCTTGTATTCCTGAGAATGTGATGCTTGATGTTGGGGAGCTCTGTCAGTGGGACAGAGTGTGTGGGTGTGATGGGGACTAACTACTATTTTGGCAGAAGGATCAGCTTGGTCTCAGTGATGTCACAAAGAAGTTTACAAAAGAAAATGGTTTGATCCAGTTGGAACAAATGGACTGGTTTTTTACCCCTCCATTGGTGTGCAAAGGTCAACATGCGTCAAAGATAGATACTGTACAGTGGATAGATCGAACGATAGATAGTGAGAGCGATAGAGCGAGAGAGACAGAGAGAGATACATAGATAATATATTCGTCATACACAATGTTACTTACAGTCAATCACATGTATGACTAAAAACACATTTCATCGTCCCTAGTTTACCAACAATAGCTATGTTTCCAGAGTGTTCATGAGGCGGGGGAAAGAAGCTCCTCTGTCTCTCAGAGGAAGCTTCTGGAACAGCTGATGAAGAGGGTGATGAAGAGGAAGCTACTGGAACAGCTGATGATGAGGGTGAGGAAGAGGAAGCTACTGGAACAGCTGATGATGAGGGTGAGGAAGAGGAAACTACTGGAACAGCTGATGATGAGGGTGAGGAAGAGGAAGCTACTGGAACAGCTGATGATGAGGGTGAGGAAGAGGAAACTACTGGAACAGCTGATGATGAGGGTGAGGAAGAGGAAGCTACTGGAACAGCTGATGATGAGGGTGATGAAGAGGAAGCTACTGGAACAGCTGATGATGAGGGTGAGGAAGAGGAAACTACTGGAACAGCTGATGATGAGAGTGAGGAAGAGGAAACTACTGGAACAGCTGATGATGAGGGTGATGAAGAGGAAGCTACTGGAACAGCTGATGATGAGGGAGATGAAGAGGAAGCTACTGGAACAGCTGATGATGAGGGTGATGAAGAGGAAGCTACTGGAACAGCTGATGATGAGGGAGATGAAGAGGAAGCTACTGGAACAGCTGATGATGAGGGTGAGGAAGAGGAAACTACTGGAACAGCTGATGATGAGGGTGAGGAAGAGGAAACTACTGGAACAGCTGATGATGAGGGTGATGAAGAGGAAGCTACTGGAACAGCTGATGATGAGGGTGATGAAGAGGAAGCTACTGGAAAAGCTGATGATGAGGGAGATGAAGAGGAAGCTACTGGAACAGCTGATGATGAGGGTGAGGAAGAGGAAGCTACTGGAACAGCTGATGATGAGGGTGAGGAAGAGGAAACTACTGGAACAGCTGATGATGAGGGTGAGGAAGAGGAAGCTACTGGAACAGATGATGATGAGGGTGATGAAGAGGAAGCTACTGGAACAGATGATGATGAGGGTGAGGAAGAGGAAGCTACTGGAACAGATGATGATGAGGGTGAGGAAGAGGAAGCTACTGGAACAGCTGATGATGAGGGTGATGAAGAGGAAGCTACTGGAAAAGCTGATGATGAGGGTGATGAAGAGGAAGCTACTGGAACAGCTGATGATGAGGGAGATGAAGAGGAAGCTACTGGAACAGCTGATGATGAGGGTGAGGAAGAGGAAGCTACTGGAACAGCTGATGTTGAGGGAGATGAAGAGGAAGCTACTGGAACAGCTGATGATGAGGGAGATGAAGAGGAAGCTACTGGAACAGCTGATGATGAGGGGGATGAAGAGGAAGCTACTGGAACAGCTGATGATGAGGGAGATGAAGAGGAAGCTACTGGAACAGCTGATGATGAGGGTGATGAAGAGGAAGCTACTGGAACAGCTGATGATGAGGGGGATGAAGAGGAAGCTACTGGAACAGCTGATGATTAGGGGGATGAAGAGGAAGCTACTGGAACAGCTGATGATGAGGGTGATGAAGAGGAAGCTACTGGAACAGCTGATGATGAGGGAGATGAAGAGGAAGCTACTGGAACAGCTGATGATGAGGGTGATGAAGAGGAAGCTACTGGAAAAGCTGATGATGAGGGTGATGAAGAGGAAGCTACTGGAACAGCTGATGATGAGGGGGATGAAGAGGAAGCTACTGGAACAGCTGATGATGAGGGTGAGGAAGAGGAAGCTACTGGAACAGCTGATGTTGAGGAGGATGAAGAGGAAGCTACTGGAACAGCTGATGATGAGGGTGAGGAAAGAGGAAGCTACTGGAACAGCTGATGATGAGGGAGATGAAGAGGAAGCTACTGGAACAGCTGATGATGAGGGGGATGAAGAGGAAGCTACTGGAGAAGCTGATGATGAGGGAGATGAAGAGGAAGCTACTGGAACAGCTGATGATGAGGGTGATGAAGAGGAAGCTACTGGAACAGCTGATGATGAGGGGGATGAAGAGGAAGCTACTGGAACAGCTGATGATTAGGGGGATGAAGAGGAAGCTACTGGAACAGCTGATGATGAGGGTGATGAAGAGGAAGCTACTGGAACAGCTGATGATGAGGGAGATGAAGAGGAAACTACTGGAACAGCTGATGATGAGTGTGATGAAGAGGAAGCTACTGGAACAGCTGATGATGAGGGAGATGAAGAGGAAGCTACTGGAACAGCTGATGATGAGGGTGAGGAAGAGGAAGCTACTGGAACAGCTGATGATGAGGGAGATGAAGAGGAAGCTACTGGAACAGCTGATGATGAGGGTGAGGAAGAGGAAACTACTGGAACAGCTGATGATGAGGGAGATGAAGAGGAAGCTACTGGAACAGCTGATGAAGAGGGGGATGAAGAGGAAGCTACTGGAACAGCTGATGATGAGGGAGATGAAGAGGAAGCTACTGGAACAGCTGATGAAGAGGGAGATGAAGAGGAAGCTACTGGAACAGCTGATGAAGAGGGGGATGGAGAGGAAGCTACTGGAACAGCTGATGATGAGGGTGATGAAGAGGAAGCTACTGGAACAGCTGATGAAGAGGGAGATGAAGAGGAAGCTACTGGAACAGCTGATGAAGAGGGGGATGGAGAGGAAGCTACTGGAACAGCTGATGATGAGGGTGATGAAGAGGAAGCTACTGGAACAGCTGATGAAGAGGAAGCTACTGCAACAGCTGATGATGAGGGTGATGAAGAGGAAGCTACTGGAACAGCTGATGATGAGGGTGATGAAGAGGAAGCTACTGGAACAGCTGATGATGAGGGGGATGAAGAGGAAACTACTGCAACAGCTGATGATGAGGGTGATGAAGAGGAAGCTACTGGAACAGCTGATGATGAGGGTGATGAAGAGGAAGCTACTGGAACAGCTGATGATGAGGGGGATGAAGAGGAAACTACTGGAACAGCTGATGATGAGGGGGATGAAGAGGAAGCTACTGGAACAGCTGATGATGAGGGTGATGAAGAGGAAGCTACTGGAACAGCTGATGATGAGGGTGATGAAGAGGAAGCTACTGGAACAGCTGATGATGAGGGGGATGAAGAGGAAACTACTGGAACAGCTGATGATGAGGGGGATGAAGAGGAAGCTACTGGAACAGCTGATGATGAGGGGGATGAAGAGGAAGCTACTGGAACAGCTGATGATGAGGGGGATGAAGAGGAAGCTACTGGAACAGCTGATGATGAGGGAGATGAAGAGGAAGCTACTGGAACAGCTGATGATGAGGGAGATGAAGAGGAAACTACTGGAACAGCTGATGATGAGGGAGATGAAGAGGAAACTACTGGAACAGCACCATGTCTTTTAGCTCTGAGGCTCAGACTGTCAGAGCTCAGTAGAGATATTAGGGTGCGTTCCTTCCGCTGACGGATGTTCACTAAAAGTCAGCAGCATGAGTTTACTGATGCAGGGTAAAAGTGGTGGGCTATGATGCTAACAAGTCTAAAGCTGCACGAAGCTATCGCCCCTCGCTACCGCACACCCACTGTTGTTGACGAAGCTAGCGTCTCCCAATATGGATAGAATCATGGACATGGATTTGCACGTGGATGGCGTGACCATAGAACGATAGAACCGGGAAGCGCGGAGGAACGAGACTTTCTTTTGGATGGCTGTCTCGCTGTGAAAGCAGTAACCGGTGACGAAGACGAGGAAGCTTCAGGTTAGCTCCGCCGCTTGTTGTGCTAACTTAGCTGTCTATGCTAACGGACCTGTAGATTTCTCACGAAAGTGGGGGCTAGTGGTCCGCTGTGATTGGTCACAATCTGCGACCCGAAACACATTCTCTTCCTTGTTTCATCAAAACTCGTGCTACTTTTCTTCAAAAGGACGTATATCTCAATGCACTGCATGGACATGGACAGCATTTTAGTAATGAATACAAAAATAAAGTCAGTTGTGCAGCTTTAAGCTAGCAGCTTTTTGTGTGTTCTCCTCCACAAGTACCACTCTGCAGCGTTTTTGTGCAGATGGCAAATTTAACAAAACTTTATCTTTAGCGCAGGCTGGTGTAAAGACAACGGTTTGGTCCTCACGACACCGAGAGAGGAGCACAGGATCAATATACGACAACTTTGGTGTTTTGTGCTTTGATCCCATGCTCCTCTCTGTGTCCATTGTTTCTGTCTGTGTCCAAAACGCTGAGTTAACAAGAAACCACATTATTCCTGCTCTTTAATAACTCACAATATAAGGCTCGTGTCTCTGCGGGACATGGGGGGGGGGGGGGGTGTCATCAGAGGGGGGGGGGGGGGTGTCATCAGAGAAGGGGGGGGCATCAAATTACAACATTGATTCAGTGTCTGTCAGGCTCCTCACTGTCACAATAACACGTGCATCTGCAACACTCACTGTTTGTGCGACGCTCTGCTCCCTGCACTCAGAGACGTCTGTCGTTAGAAATGCTTTATTTGCGACTTACGCCAAAGAACATCCCTGGTCTTTGACTTCCTGTAGCTTACATTGGCAATGAAAACATTTTTGGAGTTCGGTGAATGATCATGTACATTTTACCTTTGAGTTCCACAATCTATCGTTTATAATTTATGTACAAATATGTTTATATGAATGTTTTTTTCTGCTGCTGGACACCTGAATTTCTCCTACAGGGATCAATAAAGAATCTTCAATCTATCTATCTATCTATCTATCTATCTGTCTATCTATCTATCTGTCTATCTATCTGTCTATCTATATATCTATCTATCTGTCTATCTATCTATCTGTCTATCTATCTGTCTATCTATATATCTACAGTATCTATCTATCTACAGTATCTACAGTGCCTTGCGAAAGTATTCGGCCCCCTTGAACCTTTCAACATTTTGCCACATTTCAGGCTTCAAACATAAAGATATAAAATTCAATTTTTTTGTCATGAATCAACAACAAGTGGGACACAATCGTGAAGTGGAACAACATTCATTGGATAATTTAATTTTTTTTAACAAATAAAAAACTGAAAAGTGGGGCGTGCAATATTATTGGGCCCCTTTACTTTCAGTGCAGCAAACTCACTCCAGAAGTTCAGTGAGGATCTTTGAATGATCCAATGTTTTCCTAAATGACTGATGATGATAAATAGAATGCACCTGTGTGTAATCAAGTCTCTGTATAAATGCACCTGCTCTTTGATAGTCTCAGGGTTCTGTTTAAAGCGCAGAGAGAACCATGAAGACAAAAGAACACACCAGGCAGGTCCGAGATACTGTTGTGGAGAAGTTTAAAGCCGGATTTGGATACAAAAAGATTTCCCAAGCTTTAAACATCTCAAGGAGCACTGTGCAAGCAATTATATTGAAATGGAAGGAGTATCAGACCACTGCAAATCTACCAAGACCCGGCCGTCCCTCCAAACTTTCATCTCAAACAAGGAGAAGACTGATCAGAGATGCAGCCAAGAGGCCCATGATCACTCTGGATGAACTGCAGATAACTACAGCTGAGGTGGGAGAGTCTGTCCATAGGACAACAATCAGTCGTGCACTGCACAAATCTGGCCTTTATGGAAGAGTGGCAAGAAGAAAGCCATTTCTCAAAGATATCCATAAAAAGTCTGGTTTAAAGTTTGCCACAAGCCACCTGGGAGACACACCAAACATGTGGAAGAAGGTGCTCTGGTCAGATGAAACCAAAATCGAACTTTTTGGCCACAATGCAAAACGATATGTTTGGCGTAAAAGCAACACAACTCATCACCCTGAACACACCATCCCCACTGTCAAACATGGTGGTGGCAGCATCATGCTTTGGGCCTGCTTTTCTTCAGCAGGGACAGGGAAGATGGCTAAAATTGATGGGAAGATGGATGGAGCCAAATACAGGACCATTCTGGAAGAAAACCTGTTGGAGTCTGCAAAAGACCTGAGACTGGGACGGAGATTTATCTTCCAACAGGACAATGATCCAAAACATAAAGCCAAATCTACAATGGAATGGTTCACAAATAGACGTATCCAGGTGTTAGAATGGCCAAGTCAAAGTCCAGACCTGAATCCAATCGAGAATCTGTGGAAAGAGCTGAAGACTGCTGTTCACAAACGCTCTCCATCCAACCTCACTGAGCTCCAGCTGTTTTGCAAGGAAGAATGGGAAAGAATTCCAGTCTCTGGATGTGCAAAACTGATAGAGACATACCCCAAGCGACTTGCAGCTGTAATTGCAGCAAAAGGTGGCGCTACAAATTATTAGCGCAAGGGGGGCGAATAATATTGCACGCCCCACTTTTCAGTTTTTTATTTGTTAAAAAAGTTTAAATTATCCAATAAATCTTGTTCCACTTCACGATTTTGTCCCACTTGTTGTTGAATCTTGACAAAATTTGTAATTTTTATATCTTTATGTTTGAAGCCTGAAATGTGGCAAAATGTTGAAAGGTTCAAGGGGGCCGAATACTTTCGCAAGGCACTGTATCTATCTATCTGTCTATCTACAGTATCTATCTATCTATCTGTCTATCTACAGTATCTATCTATCTACAGTATCTGTCTATCTACAGTATCTATCTATCTGTCTATCTACAGTATCTATCTATCCATCTATCTATCTATCTACATTATCTATCTATCTATCTGTCTATCTATCTATCTGTCAGTTCAGTTAGAAAAATGGTTATAATTTGAGTTGCTGTGAAATGCATCCAGTTAAAATAAAAAAAAATAAAAAAAACACGTCCGGCAACAAGCTCCTTTATATAATTAACTGGAGTTTTGATTCCAGAATGTTTTGTCCATTTGTCTGGCATTAATTTTAGAATGTTCTGGAAACTGCAGTAAGCACTAAGTATCTCTGAACCAGCTGCTGTTTTGTGTTTTACATTTGTTATTTTCTTGTCTATCTGTAAATGTGACAGCAGTACAGTGTTCATGGTTTTACACTGATTCAGACCAGAGCAGAGACGACGGTTCCAACTAAACAGACAGGAAATCCACGGAAGAAATACAGGTGTAGTGAAAATGCAGCCAGCGAAAGTTCAATTTGGTAGACGTTAACCAAATTTACCCCTCCAGGCCGGCTCTTATCCCCAGCCTATCACTCAGCAGACGCCCCCTTCCAATCATCTGTACCGACTCGCAGCCGCATAAAAACGGAGCAACGCCCACTACCGGCCTCCTGAAGCCTCGCAAAGAATCGTTCTGGAGGAATCGCTTTTGTCTACTCACGCTTAATCGTGCGTGTCCCTGCTGTCCTCTGTCTTGCTGCGTGTGGTCTGCTCCTCCTCCTGTGGCTGCTCCTGCTGCGGGTCTCGTGCTGTGGTCCGTGGGTCTTTGCCGCTCTCCTCCTTTGCGGGCTCTTTCCGCGGGTTTGCCGCTGCTCGTCTCGTCGCGGCCTGCTGCTGCATACGGCCGGTCTAGCCCGGTGCGGTGGGAGCCGTGCGCATCCCTGCCTCCTTGTGCCGGTACGGTGTGGTCCCGTCGTGTTGTCCCTTGTCTTCTGGCGCTGTGGGTAAGTATGAGATCCGCGGACGGTTTATTCCCCTCGCTTTGTACTGCAGGCTCAGTTGGCCCCGTGCTGGTGGGCAGGCTTCAGTTTAAAGCCCTCGCATTGGTCTGCAGGCTCTCTTTAACCAAGCTCCGTTAAATCTTCACTCTGACTGCAAGCTCCGTTTAATCCCTCACATTGGACTGCAAGACCTCAGTTTTAATCCCTCTCATTGGACCGCATGCTCTCAGTTTTAATCCCTCACTTTGGCCTGCAGGCTCTGTTTAAATCCCTCCCTGGACTACGAGCTCTGTTTAAATCCCTCTCTTTGGACTGCAAGCGCTGTTTAAATCTCTCTCGGACTGCGGCTCCCAAAATGAATCCCTTACATTGGTCTGTGAGCTCTCAGGTTAATCCCTCACGGAACTGTTATATCTGGAAATGCCTATATCTGGAAATGCTTATATCTGGAAATGCTTATAGCTGGAAATGCTTATATCGGAACTACTTATATCTGGAACTGTTGTACCGTATCTGGAACTGCTTCATATGGAACTGCTTATATATGGAACCGCTATATTGGAACTGCTCATATGGTACGGTTATACCTGGAACTGTTATGCAGTACATGGAACTGCATATATGGTACTGCCTATATCTGGAACGCTATATTTTAAAAATAAATAAATGAATAAATAAATACATATAAATAAACATGTATAAATAATTATAAATAAATATAAATAAATATAAATAAATATAAATAAACATAAATAAATATAAATAAATTTAAATAAATAAATGAATAAAATAAAAAAATAGTTTAAACTCCTCACTTGGACTGCGGGCTCAGTTAATCCCTCACTTGGACCGTAAAACTGTTAAATC